TCACTAAAGATTAAAAAAAAAAAGATTTATTATAAAATTCTAAAGCAGGTAATTAATCAACTAATCTTATTTTAAATTATATTAAATTATCCGCTTATAAATTTATTAATATTGATTTTTAAATAAAGTTGCAAGTTCTGTAAATTAATAAAAACAATAGAAGTCAAAATGATACAATTGTACTTTATTGTAAAACGCGAAGGACTACTGCTTATCAAAGTATTAGTGATGTAATTAGATTAAACGCTGTTTTAGAAAATGTATGTATTGTAATAACTGCATTATTTTAATAAATTATTATTAATTACTTTATGATTAATACCTTTCTCTAAATGGTAAACATCATTGGAATGATATAAATAATGATAAAGTCAAAGGTATCATTTGTTCATGGTCTTTTATTAATGAATTAAAAATTTTAGCTTTTGTTTTAGAACTACATAAAGCTGTAATAGTTTTAGAAAGAGGAGAAGCTAATTTGAATGATTGTTATTTTGAATTGGCTTGTATTTCTGCTGCCATTAAAAGATTACCACAGTTTTAATTTAGATTTCTGTATAGAAAAAATTAATATTAGATTTAATGAATTTGATGATAATAATTATTTGATAGCTTTTTTTTAAATAGGAGGTTAGTATTTTTATTTTAGTTATATAAGAATATAAAAAAATATTTAAATAGGTAATACCTTAAAGTTTGGAATTTGGATGTAATTAGTTACCTCAAAGTCGGCGCTCTCACTTTCGCAATGTCAATATATTAAAATTGCGCAAATACAAAAATATAAAAATAAAAATAATAAGAAATTCAGGATTTTAAAAATAAATAAATAAACGAAGTTACAAAGTTAAAATTTATAATGCCAAAATGGCGAAGGTATGTGTATACAAATGTAAGAAGGGCGACCGTGTTGAGTTTTTTAAGGATTTCCAACTCATATATATATAAAAAAATTAATTAGCATCGGTCAAAAATTATCTACAAAGGACTAACTACAATTATCGAAAATAATCTACAAGCGAAATTATACCGGCAATGAAACAACTATTTTTATTAATTAGTTTATTTCATAGAAATTACCAAGATTGATATCGGCTAAATAACTCGTGTGACATATATCATTGCATTTACTCACGGAAAAAGCAAAAGTTTTTTTTTTCACGCATGCACTTCCACTTCACAAAATAATTACATCTCTTTTGTAATTAGATGTCACTCAAAAGACTCAATAAAGAATTACTTGACCTCATACATGACCCACCGTCAACATGCAGTGCTGGTCCCATTGGAGATGATCTCTTGAATTGGCAAGCATTTATTATGGGTCCTCCAGAATCTCCATACAGCGGAGGATTATTTAAACTTAACGTCCAATTTCCCTCAGATTATCCGTTTAAACCACCAAAAATATGTTTTTCAACAGTGGTTTATCATCCGAATATAAGTAGAAACGGATCTATAAGTCTAGATATATTAAGGGACCAATGGTCACCTTCACTTACTCTGTCTAAAATGCTTTTGTCTATTAGCTCGTTGTTTACTGATCCTAATCCCGATGATCATCTCGTACCGGAAATTGCACTTGTATATCGAACGGACCGTTCTCGTTATGAAGCTAATGCTCGGGAATGGACGATTAAATATGCCAGTGAGTACAATTAAGCTATGAAATTGATTATTTTCATATTGATTTTTTCAAATAATGTGTTTAGTGAATTATATATATTTTATATATTACGTTACATTAGTGTAATGAGTTTGTGTGCGCAAACCAACGATTTATTAGATTTTTGGGTTATTCTCCATGTTTCATGTACATGTGTTATTTTTTTATACTTATACATACTAGCAATACTTTTTTTATTTTTATTTTATTTTGTTTTATTTTTTACATTGCGAAAAACATCCCTTGTATTAAACGAAAAAATAAATAATTATCGTTTAAAAAGATTTATTCGTGGACGTATTTTAATTTTTTGGCATTTCTCCATACAAAAATTCAGCCAGCGTTGGTAAGCATTCGGTAATAAAAAAAAAAAAAAAAAAAAAAAAAAAACTACGGTTTTTTGTAAAAGGACTTAAAGACTTGTTCCCATCGTTAGATATGCCATCCTAATAAAGAATTTTTATTCCTTCTTCATGGCAACATATTTTGAATGATGATTATGTGGACGTTGATTAAAAATGAAAATTGACATGTAATATATTTTCAATGTCGGGTAAAGCCTTTTTGAAGAAGTGTACTTTGAAAATTTTTCATCTAACTAACAACTCGGTGTCCTCACCCTATCTGGCGCAGATGATATCGAAAATCTGGAAACATGCAAAAAAAAAAAAGAAAACACTGTCAACAACTAATGTTCAAGAAGTTTTAGATGCAATGCTTTGAAGATAACCTAACGCTTTCTGGACTACTAAAGTTGAAATCTTAAACGGAAAAAAAAAAATTTTTTTTTTAATAACCCCCCCAAATTTTTAAGAGTCACATATTTTTTAAGAGGTCAAAAACAATTGATATTATCGAATATTAATGCGAAGAACTACTTACAAGACGATACAAAATGACGTTCTACGAGATTACACGTGATCCAATCTTTGCAAACTAAGTTCGATAAAGATAATTTCTCTTACGGAGAAATTGAAGCAATGAACTGAACTGAATACATCGTTTCGCGGACCATCATTTCCCTGAGACGCATAATTCGGCATTATTATAATTTTATTTATTGGCTGATTTGAATTATGCACTTGTCCCATCAGTTAAATCAAACACTATATAGCTTAGAAGCACTTTATTTATTCATTTATTTTTTTTTTAAATAAAAAGAAAATATTCGGTTGTTATTCCATTATGTTCATAAACTTGTTCAATAATCTTACCATTTAAACCGAAATTGCACAGAAGAGAGAATTTTTAAAATTTCTTGCATCTGCATCATTTAAAAAAGCATCGTTGAAGTTTGAATAAAATCCTTATAATATTCAAAAAACCAATGTAAAAAGGCCTTATTAAAAACCAATACTTCATTTATGCAAAATTTAAATATTGAAAGAATTGACAAAGCAAAAGAATCTTGTAAACGTAAAAACCACTTGGATCTTGACTAATAAAAAGTTGTAAATATTTATAATGTTTTTCTTTTTTAGCATTAAAAATGATGTTTAAAGTTCAAATTTTCAACGAAATAAAGTTCTTTTGAATACTAAAGTACTTGGTTTTAGTTACAAATAAAATCTTAATATAGGCTTAGGCTTAGTTTAATAAGTTTAATATAGGGAAAAGCGTGATATTGAATAGCGTCAACTGAATCATATATCTGATATTGGTTTGATTTAAATTTTTTTATTTTTTTATTTTCTAGTTATTTATTTTATAAAAATACATAGATACTTCTAATTCTATAACAATAAATTACAAAGAATTTACAATAATCTAAAAATTTCTATTTCTTCCGGAGTAAAACTAGTATATCTACTTGAATCTACAACATTCGCTTCATAAGAACCATTATAACGAAGAAAAATACTTTCATCACCCATATAAAAAGTTTCCCCAAAATTAAATCCAGAATGTTTATGTTCGACTATTGCACGACTTGTATCAACTACGCGACTTATTTTCACTTTTGTATCTTCAAGCAAAAATATAAAACTTTCACTTGTGTTATAAAAACTTTTTTTCGAACAGTCTTGAACAAAATCAAGTGGATTATATCCTCCATAAATTTTTGTTGAGAATTGTTTTTTTACTAATACCAAACATGGACCATGATTATTACACTTTGTACGAAATGCATCAATACTGATTCCATCTCGGCTACTTCTATAAAGGAGTTTAAATTTATATTTTTTCTTAAGGTAGAGGTTTTCTACATCTTTCTTTTCAATCCATTGAGCAATCATATAACCGAGATTTGGTCTGATAAGTTTTGATTCAATTTCAAATTGAGTATTTATAGATCGCGGTTGCGTCAACGTTGACTTTGGTAAGGTGTTTTTAAAATAAAATTCAGCAACTTCTTCATAAATATTACGAGGAATAAAATCTTTGTAAGGACGGACTTTATCAAAGAAATCTTCAGATGAAATTTCCACAAATCGAATAAGGGGAATGAATTGACTTATCGTTTTCTCAAATGCTTCAATATTCTCTTGACTCCATTGGTTTCTATCAACATTCTCACTTCCCAACCCAGGAGTATTCTCATTACACCATTTAATTAAACAATTCCAGACTTCAATTTCTTCAATCTTCAAATCATCTCTTTCAAGCAAATGAAATAGAATATCTTTATCCAGTGATGCAAAGTTTTTCGAAGCGATTAATGTTTGTGGATATTCACAGATTCTTTCGAGACAATAATCTATTAGTTTCTTGCAGACAACAATTTTAAATATGGTATTAAGAACGAAAGCGATATTTTGATGAATCCAACTAGTAAGGTTTTCAATTAAGTGATCTTGAACATAGTTAAATAATTCTTGAAGTAGGAATACATCCGATGCAATGATCAACCAAAAAATATTTTCATCTGACAGCTTGGACAAATCAAGTTCACCTGTGTATATATAACTTAAAGAAAAAAAGAAATTGAAAAAATTTATAAATTAAAAAAAATTAATTATAATTGAACGAATTTTAAATTTTATAACTTACATTATGATTGTTTCAAAAATAATTGGAGTGATGTTAGGTATATTAAACGTGAACATTTCATTATTTCTCATGGAATTATACGAAAAAACACTTTTAAAATATGGTGAGCGAGCTTGTAAAATAACTGAATGCACATGAAATTCCCTTGCATCTTGGTTTTCCCCAACTAGAATAATCACATTACATTCATCAGATTTCTTTAATAATAAATTAAGATCTCTCGAAAGAGAATGGAATGTCAATTGTGAAGCCACCATGAATTGATTTTTTGATTTCGTTCTAGATCGCGGTGTTAAAGTTGTTTCCTTCTTATAGATTTTGTTATTACAAATTAAATCAATTCTTCTATGTACACCATAGGGAATGGCAGCTTTATAAGGACGAGTTATAAAATAAGGTACACCACCTGTAAATCGAATAAGAGGAATAAACTTTTCAATTGTTTTCTCCAAGACTTCAAGTCCCTTTGGATTCCACTCAGTTTCATTAAAATTCTCAATCAATCTTGGAGTCTGTACAATGCCCCATTTAACTAAACAATCCCAGATATCAATCTCTCCAATCGTCAAATCATCTCTTTTAAGCAAGTCGAAAAGGATATCTTTGTCAAGTGATAGAAAATGTTTTGAATTGAAAAATGGTTCTGGAACTACACAGATTGGTTCAAAGCAAAAATCTTGCAGTCTTTTGCAATTAATAAGACTTTGATGATAAATTAGAACAAAATTCCTTTGAACCCAAACATCTGGATTTTTAATCAAGTAAGCTTGAACTGGTTTGATTAATTCTTCAAGTAATAATTCATCGGAAGTGATTAACAATCTAAGAATATCTTCACTTGACAGATTCGTCAAATCAAGTTCACCTGCATAAATATACCTTAAAAGTTAGAAAAGAAAAAAGAAATCATTGAATGATTTTTTTGATTTATAATCGGACAAAAAAAAAAAAAAATTATTCAATAAAGTTATACATTTTAACATAGCCTACTTTAAAATCATGTCAAAAACATTCGGATTAATGTTTGGCTTATTAAACAGGATCATATCATTCTCTTTTGTAATCCAATTAGACGAGAAGGCTACTTTAAAATATTGAGAGCGCGCCCGTAAAATAAGCGTATGTGCTCGAAATTCTTTTGTATTATTCTTTTCACCAACTTTAATAGTAACATTGAAATCATCGGAATTTTCTAACATACAGGATAAATCTCTTGAAAGACTGGGATAAAATATTGAAGTCATTTTGGAAAAATAAAAAAAATTTTTTGTATATCTTTGAGTTAAAAAATAAACAAGTTCATGAAAAAAAAAATAGAACGAATTTAGAAATAAGTATTTATTGATTGTAACATTTGTGGCGTCATGTTGTCGATCTTTTAATAATGAATCTGAATAAGGAGCATTGACTCCGATTAGCATGATCGATTCCGTACACGTACAAACAATAAGACTGTTGTATAACGTTTATATTCGTAAAAAGAAGGTTTTTAATTAAGCAAAAATGATAATAAATTTAATATCAAGTGTTGCCTCTACACTTCCGAAATTTAATCAATTCAATAAATGCTAATCACTAAATGCCAATTAATTGAATTTGCGAAAATAAAAATAATATAATCGGAGAATATAAATAGCGCAAGCAAGATGAAAAAGGGAAGGTGTGTGTATTAAAGAAAATGAAAACCCGCTATAAATCCCCTAACCGAATTATCTTTGGGTCAAAATTATCGTTTTTCGGTCGGAATTATATTAAATGTAACAATATTTAAGCAGCTAAATAAACACAATTTTAATAACAATTTCCTGGTACGAAGTTTTCAAAATATGTTTCCATATTACTTTTCCCAATTTAAAAAAATGAAGCAATTGTTCAGATACTTAAAATATACAGACAACTATTTAAATAAATGTTTTAACGATGAAAATTGTCTTATTTTTCTTTTAATTTATATAATTTCAAAAAGAAAGAAATAAAAGTTGGTATAAAACATACATTATAAATATAAAGTTATTTTCTATTTTTCATGTGAATCTTTGAATAAAACAAGTAGACTTTTTTTTTATGTTAAAATTTCTTTATAAGGAATTCTAATTTGAATTCTCTGATGTATCAATAAGCACATCGATTATCCTTCCGCTTACTAAAAATAAGAAATCTTTAGAAAGCCGTTAAATAGAATAGAAAATTTATAATCTCGATTAACTAGTAATCACTTTAAATTTGGCCCAAGTTATTCAGTAACCTTTGTTTTATAAAAAACAAATAAAAAAAGAAATAATAAAAATCGACCCCTTATAAGATATTTAAACATTAGTGCATTTAATCATAAACTTACATCATTTCGTAGAGTTTGCAATTATACGATACGATTTACCGAGATTTAAAAATAAACTTTATTGGTCTCTCTTAGAAAAGTATGGGCGTTTTGCAGTAGGAAGGGAGACACTCAAAAGATTTTTTTATTTTATTTTATTTTATTTTTATTTTTATTTTTATTTTGAGTTTTAATGTAAATCTGGACTTATTTTACCAAAAAAAAAAAAAAAATAATATTTAGCTTATACCGGTAAAATTAATTAAATTTTTTTTTTTTGTAGTTTCTTCCCTTTCTACTGCAAACCGCCCATGTTTTTTTTTTTGTATTTTATACATTATTTTTGTCACGTAAAATAGGAGGTAAATTAACTTACATTTTCACCTAAACGTTTCCTTCACTGTGTTACGCAAACTTAAATACGTAAGGAATATTTATATGAACACGTTTGGGTAAACTAATAAATATTAATATTTTATAATCTTTGTATACTATTTATTATTTTTTTTATTGATGAGCGTGTAAAGCATTAAGCCAGAAAAATGTGTAAAATATACGTGGGATCAAACTAGTTTTGCAATGACATAAGTAAAAAAAAGTAGTAATCACGACATTCCGCTTTCGGAATTTTGAGCACTTACGAATTTCTATTTTTAATTTCTAATCTCGACAATTTTGAGTTAAAACTGCAGGTTTATGTAATTCATATGATTGAAATGAATTCAATGAAATGAGTTAAAAGCTACATAATGTATCGTAAACTGGAATATATATGGTTAGGTTTGAAAGAAGGTATTTTGTATTGATAACGGTTTTAAAGATCAAACATAGATTTTGTATATTTTGTATAGTATTAGGCCAAATTTGGAAAAAAAATTTAATAAATAATTTCACCAATTAAGATAATAAATTTATAAATGAAATGAAAATCGCGAGAAATGTTCTAGATAAACTTTAGCGCTCTTTTTCTTGCAAGCATTTTTTGAGATAATATTTATTTTTTCTTTCGCGCTGTTAATTTTTATTTTTCATAGATAAATGTTACACAAAATAATAAAATTTTATTATACAGTAAGTACACCCCGGTTTACATATCTTACGTTGTGTTTAAAATTTCATATAAGTGGAGCCAGCTCCCGAGCTTTATGAATCTGCCACTGTAATGTCAGCCTGACTTAAAATGCTTCGCCTTCTTTTCTTAAATTGCTTAAAAGAGAAGTTTATTTAATATCACATATAAATAAAAAAAAAACTTACATTTCCTTTTTAGAAGAAATGAATATCACAAGAAATATTTTTTAATTTCTTTTAAATTATTAATTATACTTTATTCTTTGATAATTAAGAAGCGAGATATTCATTACGAAATGTTACCGAAATCATTTTCTCCTATTAGATGTATCTCGAACATTTCTCATTGTAAGAAATGCTCAAAAAAGTTGACTATATAATAATTCGAGCTAACTTTGTAGAGCATTGAAATTTACTGTTATAACCGGATATTTGTTATTCTGAATAAAGTCAGTACTAAGAACAAAAGAAAAAAAAATGTAATATATTTCAGAAAATTGAGGTGATCAAATTAAAAATTAAAAAAAAAATTCCCAAGTACAATTGTAACTTTGTTCGTCTCATTCAGAATATTACTTTTTAGAAAATATTCAAATATATGTATATTACTTGCCATTTACACAATCGTAGATAGTTAATATTATAGTTTACGTTTCGTTTGTATACATTAGCTAAATTTCGTTCCATTTAAAAATGAATAAAAACATAAACCAATATTAATTAAAGGACGGTAAACATAAACTTACTTAATTACATAAAGTAAACAACCATTTATAAAGACTAATAAAAAGCAAAACTTAAATGCTTAATTTGAAGAATTTGTAAATGATACGCAGCCAGATGTTACATGTCAGGATACACAATTACAGGATTTGATTGACTAATTAAATATGATGACAATGCGAAATTGACAAAATGTGCAAGTAATTTTTTTATAATTTTATTAATAATTTTTTATTTATAAATATTAGAAATTTAGAAACCAATTTTTGCTTGTATCTTTAGCAATAAATAGCCAATATGTTACTAAAAAAAAATAATATGTCTTAGTTACATATGAATAATTTACACAATTATCTAAAGCATAATCCGTGCAATACGTTGAGATCTATAAAATTTGGCATACAAACTAATCTTATTAAAGATCCGTTCCATTTTTCGTGAAGCAATAATTATGTGGATTCTATTGCTACACTCACGTCTCTCACATACTTTGCATTACTCATGCATAAAATAACAGGCAATCCTAGACAGAATATGTGCTTCGAAACAAATACAATATTTCGCGATCACATGCAGAATTAAGTTATTTATCTGGTTTTCATAATGATCAAGATATTACTGATATCTAACGCAGAAATTTATTATCTAAATCGTTTAAAAATACTGTATACTGTATGTTAAAACAAATATTAAGTGTATAAGTTGAGCATTTAAATGCAAAACTTACAGAATTGAATTTAGAAAATGCGATTTGTTTTAAAGAATTAATTAATTATAAGCACTTAGTGTATAACTTTGAATTAATTCACTTAAAGACCGGAATAGAATCTTTAAAGTTGATATTGATTATTTATAAGTATGGCTAATCTTTAAAAAGTAAAAAAACTTAGTTTACCATAAATGTTTATTTAGGAATAATGTAAAATACACTTAAAATAAATCGAAATAACAATATATATATATAATTATTTTTTGGTGTTTGTTATATTAAAGGCCTCAATTTCCTCGATTGTGTAAGCATTATTATTTTCAATTAAATTATTTTCATAATAACCGTTATTCATGCTTACATATAAATTCTGACCTTGCGAATAAAACTCATTACCAAAATTAAATCCATAATAATCATCATAAGCGTAGTATTCATATATAGCATAAATATAATACTGCGATCTAACCCGACATAATTTCATTTTTTGTGTATCTTCATTATTTTCAAAAGAAAAAATAAAACAATCAATTGACCCAGTATTCCGATTACCATAATCATAATTGCAAAACCTGATTGGAGAATAACCACCAAATATTTTTTGCGAACCTTGGCACCTGACTAAGATTAAAGTTGGAACCTGTAAATTATATTTGTTTCTAAATGAATTATTATCGATCCCATCTTGGCTACCACGATAAATAAGGTTAAACATGTATAATGGATCTTCTTTGCTACGGATAGCATTTGCGTCCTTTTTATTCATCCAATTAATAATGATAGAAGCAAGCTTTGGCTTGATAATTTTCGATTCAATCCGAACCTTTCCAACTCGTGGTGGTAAAGTGGTTGTTTTTGGTAATGTATTTTTCATATAAGACTCCATAACTTCTTCATAAATATGTTCAGGAATAATGCGCTTATACGGACGAACTTTATCAAAAAAGTCTGCAGAACTAATTTCTGAAAATCGAATAAGAGGAATAAACTGTTTTAAAGTTTTCTTCAATGCTTCATAATTCTTATTATTATACCTAGTTCTATCACTTCCCAAACCAGAAGTCTGATTGATACCCCATTTAATTAAATAATCCCAGATCACGATCTCTTCGATCTGTAAATCGTCTCGCTTAAGCAAACCATAAAGAATATCTTTATCAAGTGATGAAAAGTTTTTTGAAGACATGAATGGTAAAGGTTCTGAGCAGATGGATTCAAGACAGTAATTTTGTAGCTTTTCACAATTAGTAAGTTTAAATACTGTATGAAGGACGAGAACGAAATTTTGTTGGACCCAAGTTGATTGTTTTTCAATCAAATAATCTTGAACATGGTTAAATAATTGCTCGAGAAGTAGTTCATCGGAAGCAATTAAAAGACCAAGGATATCAGCACCGGATTGTTTAGTTAAATCTACTTCGCCTGCATAAATGTAACTTAATTTAATTGAAAAAAGAAGATTATTAGGTAATTTGGTTGTTTTAAAATAATTTCAAAAAGATTTCAAATTTATTGAGCATACTTAAGTATCATTTCGAACACTTTAGGATTAATGTTCGGTTTTTTGAACTCGATTATATTATTATTTTTTGTAGCCCATCCAGATGAGAATGCACTTTTAAAATAAGGAGAACGAGCTCTCAAAATATTTGAATGTGCTCTAAATTCTTTTATATTTTGATCTTTTCCTACTTGGATAACTACATTATGGTCATCTGCGCTATTTAGCATCAATAAAAGTTCTTGCGAAAGTTCAGCATGAAATTTGGAAGTCATTTTTTTTTTTTAACAAAAAAAAAAAAAAAAAGGAGTTACATAAAATATTTATCATCAATCAATTCAAATATAGTAATATATCTTCCGATTATAGAAAGTCGTGTCATTATTTAGAAACAGGAGGTTGAGTCGATCTCAACACCATCGATCGGATCGTAATAAAAAAAAGAAAGAAATAAATCACGAAGCGATTGAACCACACCACAAAAAAAAATAAAAACGGAATGATTTAAAAAATGAACGAAAAACATAAAAATCTTAACATAATACTTAAGAACAAAATGATTTTAAAAAAAAAAATCTTACCTAGTCTATAATAATAATAATAAATAAATAAAATAAAAAAATCAAAAAAGAGCACAACTTAAGAAATTAACTCACCTTATAGAAGAGGAACTTATTGAAAAGAGGGCGCAAGATTTTTTGAAAAATCGCCAGCCCGTAGAGATTAGAACCGGTTAACCGGTTATTGATTTTTTAACCGGTTAAAATAGATGAATTTAACTCGACCGAAATTCAATTTCCGGCCAGAATTAAGATTTATATGATTGCAAAAATATTGTCTATAGACTGGCCTAAGTTAATTTTAACCGGTTATTAACCGGTTAAAGAAATTTTGGCCGGAGATAAAAGAACAATCAAATTTTTTTTTTTTTATTCCCAATATATATAAATGTAAGTTCATTCAATAAAAAATAATTTCTCAATATTGGCTTTGATTTTAAATAAACTTTTCGAATATTTTGAAACTATTTAACCATTTTAAGAAGCGACCAATTCTAATTTAAATCAAAAAATTTAAGGATATATAAAAGCAATCAAAATTAATTAATTAACAAAAAAGGATTAATTTGACACACATTTAAATATAACTAAACGTTATCAGCAGCATTAAGATGAATCAATATATTAGATAGATATATATATGTACTGATTCTACCTTTCATTTATAGGACTTCTGAGGATTTAGAATTCATCTTCTCCATCAGCAACATATGTTCGGTAAAAATAACAACTGCAGATTCAAAGGCTTAGTAATACTTTTACAAGATGAAAAGGTTAAGTCGCGACTAATTACGAAGTTGATGACGGTGTTTATGGCATTGCTCATAATAACAGTGTAAAAAAGGTTTATTAGGTAGTGATAATAATAAAATAATTTTTTGAACACGTTATTCTTTAGAAAATAATGATAATCGGATATTATTACAAAATCAACAAATGTAATGAATTCAGGTAGGTCTATTTGCATTGATTTTTTTTTAAAAAAAAAATACAATAAAATTTTAGAATACATTTTAATAACCAATATACAGTATATTCACGGCTAACAATCCTTTTTTTACTACATAGAAACCTATAACTTCCGATCCACAAGTTTAAAGTTTGACTTTTCCCTTGATTTTCATTCAACAAATTTTTAAAAATTCCTTAAAGCTTTTGTGCAGTTTTTATGTCAAAAAAACTGTGCCAGAAATTAAATAACCTTAGTACCTGCTTTTTCAAAATTTTAGTACGTTTTCTTCTACAATACCTATACAATTTTTTTATAATGTATGAATTAATGTCGGTCTTTTATAATTTTACCCATTTTTAGAAATATTAAATTTTCCATGCGTTCAAAATAAACCAGACTTGTTTAATTTTTTCTGTACGATTCTCTTTAAAGATTTCGGTAAAATCATTTTTTGTCTGAAAATTGATCAACTGTCTGAAGAATGCAAATGCTTGTCTCTCTTAGCTTGTTTCCATTATAAAAAGATAAACTGATATCACGGCAAAACGCATTTTTTATATTATTTTAATGCATTAAATTGATTAATAGTTCATTCATATAAATATAAACATTACATTTTATTTTATTTTAAAAAGTGAAGAACCTGTACAACATATGAAATATTTAAAATTGCTTGAATATTCTAAAGGCTTCGAATTCCTCAATTGTATAATTATTATCATCCTTTATATTATCTTCATAATAACCCTCCTTATTGGCTACGTATAATGTCTTATTTCGTGTATACAAAGTGTGTCCACCGAAATTAAATCCATAATCATAATTATTATGATAGTCGTAATCATATATAGCATGATCAGAATGCTGCGAGTTTACACGACTTAATTTCATATTTTGTGCATCCTCATTATTTTCAAAAGAAAAAATGAAACTATCAGTACAATGAACATATCGATCACCATAATTATAATTATAAAACTCGATTGGAGAATAACCTCCAAATATTTTTTGCGATCCCTGACATTTGACTAAGACCAATGTTGGCGCCTGTAAGTTATATTTGCTTCTAAATGAATCACTATCAATACCATCTCGGCTACCACGATAAATGAGGTTAAACTTGTATAATGTATCTGCCTTGTTACGAGGAGCATCTGCATCTTTCCTATTCATCCAGTTAATAATGATAGAAGCAAGCTTTGGCTTGATAATTTTCGATTCGATTTGAACTTTTTCCACTCGTGATGGTAAAGTAGTTGCTTTTGGTAAAGTATTTTTCATATATGACTCCATCATTATTTCATAAATGCTTTTTGGAATAATAGGCTTATACGGACGAACTTTGTCAAAAAAATCTGTAGAACTAATCTCTGTAAATCGAATGAGAGGAATAAATTGCTTTAAAGTACTCTTCAATACTTCATAATCCCTATCATTCCATTTAGCTTCATCACTTTCCAAACCAGAAGTCTGATTAACACCCCATTTAATTAAACAATCCCAGATCATTATTTCTTCATCAATATAAAAGTCGTCTCGCTTAAGCAATGAGTAAAGAATATCTTTATCAAGTGATGGAAATTCTTTCGAAGTAATAAGTGGTAAAGGATCTGCGCAGATGGATTCAAAACAGTGATCTTGAAGTTGCTTACAATTAGCAAGATTAAAAACTTTGTGAAGAACAAGAACAAATTTTTTTTTGACCCAAGTTGATTGTTTCTCAATTAAATGATCTTGAACGTATTTTAATAATTCCACGAGAAGCAGCTCATCAGACGCAACTAAAAGTCCAAGAATATCTTCACCAAATTGTTTGGTTAAATCCGTCACCACACCTGTATAAATATAACTTGATTTATTATTGAGAAAAAAAGAAATTTAGATATGTTAAAAATTATTTCAACAAAAAATTATAAATTTCTTAGACATATCATACTTTAGAATTATTTCGAAAACATTAGGGTTAATGTTCTGTTTTTTGAACTCGTTTACATTATTATTATTTTTTGTAGTTTGTTCAGCTGACAATACCCTTTTAAAATAAGGAGAACGGGCTTTCAGAATACATGAATGTGCTCTAAATTCTCTTATATCTGGATCTTTTCCTACTCTAATAACTATATCATGGTCATCTGCGTTATTCAACATCAATAAAAGGTCTTGAGAAAGTCCAGCATGGAATTTTGAAGCCATTTTTTTTTAAAAAAAAAAAAAGATCGAGATTTATGGTTAATCACATTAAAGACCGACTGCGCCACAATCCTGTTGTGATGTAAAGGGCTTAGCCAGTTTATTAGTGTCAAACTGGGGAATCTAATGTTAATTTACATAAAATAGTTATTTAATGGTTTAGCAATGCTTTAAAAAAAATATTACAGAAATTTTTGTAAGGCTTTTTTCTGTTAATCCAAAAGAAAATTTATGACTTTTATTCATTATATATTTATGAAAAGTTTCATAAAAATTGGCTTTGAATCAAAATTGTACAACCATATTTAAATTTATTTACTGTTACACAAAACATTTCTTACACGTCCAATTTTAATATCCAATTTTAAAATGTTGAAGGATAGATTCATATGATATGTGTGTGTGATCTCATGATCAGTTTATGTAACCATAAATTAGTATTATAAAATAAATCCCATTTCAAGAGGAGACACAGTTCCATTTGGTCATACATATTTCAGAATATACGCAAATAGTTTTCCAACGTATCCATTTAATAGTTTACATTGTATCCTCAAACCTTTCATTTGGGATGTATTTTGTTTATGTCTTGAAATGTCGAAATAACAAATATTATATTGGTAGAACTATGGATATCGACGTTAGATATAAACAACACTCAAACGGACGTGGCTCAGTCTGGACACGTAGATATCGACCAACCGGAATCAAAGAGTTGGTGAAAACCAAGAATAAACATTTGGAATTAATGAAAACCCTTGAATATATTAATAGATATGGCATCAATAATGTAAGAGGTAAGCCTTATTGTAAAGAGGATATATCAGAATTTTTAGGGAAGATTCGTTACCAATTGTCACAACAATGTTACCTCTGTGGTAGATATGGTCATGTTGCCAATAAATGTATTTGTGACATATGTTGTAGTCGTGATCATCTTACTGAGCAATGCAATAATTGTCCAGAATGCGGTGGACTCGATCACGTTGCTACTGAATGTTATAATTGTTTCAAATGTGGTAGACGTCATTCTTCTGAAAATTGTAATAGATGTTACATATGTGGTGAACGTGATCATTTGCAATATGAATGTGAATAAATCCATTTCAATTATGATAAAACTATTTATAACCAAATTAAAGATTAAAATTGCGATAGAAATGGATCATGGTTAGAATATTATGTATGAGGTTAATTTATTATTATAGTGAATACAATATTTACTTGATCTTTATGTAATTATATTTTAACCATCTTGTAACAATAAAGTGATAATGTATATTTATATTGATAGCTTTAAAATCTAAAATTGTATCTTTATTCCATTTATCTTTGATAAATTTACATTGTTTGAGTTATAAATCACAAAATAATTTTTTATAATAGTAAACCTTCAAAATAAAAAGGCCATCGCTCAGGTACAGTAATTTGAAGAAATGCTAAACAAGTATCTTGACCTTAGCCCTATGAAAAATCATTATCCTGATTTTGTACGTACAGTTTTGAAATTTATTTTTAATTTAAATCATAGCGGATAAATTTTTTTATTTTATACCGAAAATTTCTGATCTGATATTTAATATTTAAAAATTGACAATTTAAAATAATTAACTTTTATAAATGCAACAAATAAACATATCTCTCCATACTTTCATGCATATTTTTTAACATCATTGGTACGTTTTAACGTACCGAAATTGTACCAACATTGTCAGTTGATTAAATTCAGAAGTTTTTTTTAGGGAGATATTTACGCAGTACTGCAACCTGTGAGTTTTTTATCTTCAATAATCTATCGCCTTTAAAGAAAACTCAACGCTTTCTGAAATATTTAACTTTGCAACATATTGTTATTGCATAACTAACATTATTCTTTAATATTAGCTAACAAAGGTGATTTCAATTTCATTCTTTAAATATTTTTTATCGTCGTAATTTATTCCTAATAATGAACTATAGATATCCTAGACTATTGAAACAGTGAATCAATCAATATCACAATGTTGTTCTTCTATATCAGAAGAGTATTATTTCCATTGCTTGTATCTATAGTTATATATAATATATTGAGATGAGATTGATATATAATCTCTTTTTTTTTAAAAAAAATAATTTAATTAGTGGTATATATGGTTACGGGAATCCATTTATATTTGTATTGTTTATTGTTATATAATATAATAGTGTATGTTTAATAAGTTATAAAAAATTTATATAGAATGTCAAAATTAAGGTTAGTTTACATCTAAATAAGAAACAAATCTAAAAAGCAAAAAAAAAAAAAAAAAATATATATAAAAAGTTATTTTTGGTGTCTGTTATATTAAAGGGCTCAATTTCCTCGATTGTGTAATAACTATTATTGCCACTAAATTATGTGGTGTTACTTAAATATAAATAATTATTTGTGTTGTGTATATAAATTATCACAACTAAAATTAAATCCAAAATTATCATTATTAGCGTAGTATTCAATTAAATACTACGGAATTACACGTCTTAATTTCATATTTTGCGTGTTATCATCATTTTCAAAAGAACAAATAAACATTCAGCGGAGCGAGCGAAACGTTCACCAAAGTCATGGTTATAATATCTGGTTGGAGAATAACCTCCAAATATTTTTTGCGAACCTTGGCACTTGACCAAGATCAAGGTTCGAACCTGTAAATTATGTTATTTTCTAATGAATTATTATTGATTCTATCTAGGCCACTAATGATTAATAATTAATAGTTATTCGGCACTTCGTGCCGAATAACTATTATATTGGGAAAATCAAATTTGATTGGTTGATTTGGG